CTAATTATAACTATTTCAAAAATAATTATAACGCAATTAAAAGGGTTTTATATGATTCAATCAAAGACAAATATGAAAATGACGCTCCATCAGCTTTGTTTAGTGATATATCATATGGATAATTTTAATTAATCAAAAGTAAAAGCTGGGAAAAGATTGAAGCTCTTTGACTCAATTTACACCAAGTATCTCTTTGAATCTTAGTTTAAGTAAGAAGTTACGAGTTGAATTCTAAACATATAAATTCATTCCCCAAAGTGATAGATTGGAAGAAAAGCTGGGGCAAGTTGCTAGTAAGATTGGATCAACAAATATAATAATAGATAATAAAAATTTAGGATAAGATTAATCTGAATCAATCAAGGTTATTTTCTTTTGTAATATATTTCTATGAATAGGTCCCAAACAGTGTACGGTAACAGATAAGCACCTTTGTCATAGTCCCTTCAAAATGCAGTGGATAAGCTTCATCTTGGCCCTATCCTTATTTTCCAAAAAATGTTCACACATTTACACGTATACATGAGTCAGATTTTACCCCTGCATATCTCATATCCTTAGATTCCCCGAATGATTTGAATTCAAACTCATTATCATAATAGGGTAACTTTCCTGCTCCGAGGTTTCTCAAATTTTAATGATTTGGATTTATTTGTTTACTCATCTTTTTAATATTTTAGTAATGTTTTATGGAATTATTTGTATAAGCCATGCATCCAAATTTCAACAAGATTTGTTGTTTAAAATATTAATACCTGTTTGATCTTATTTATAAATCATTTTCAACATGTTCCACTTGAATTAAGAAAAATCTTAAAGCTTACTAATTCTGTTTTAAATTTTAATAACGTTCCAAATTTATCTCTATTTAGTGTGTGTGTATATATATATAAAATAACAATCTATACAATAAAAAATAAAAAATAAAATGGTATATTATATTAAAAATTTAATAATATGATTTATAAATAAGATCAAATACAACTTTTTATCTCTACCTTGTAAATAGGAGAATGGGCATTATACAGGGTTTTTTTTTTTTTACTTTAATGTTTCTGAAATTTTAATGATTTAGATATTGAGGCTGTTTGGTAAGAAGCTGCAAATAATAATATAATATGAAGTGAGAAAAGGGTAGTTTAGTTTTCGAATAAATTATCAAGTTCATTGGAACTTGTTAAATTTTTTAAATCACATCATTGAAAATAACAAGAAGAAAAGCACATACATAAAATCATGAAACACGAGTTGAGTCAAGTCAATTCAATAATAATAATAATAATAAAATAAGGATAAAAACTGACACAATTGACTTAACCATTCTACTAGCTCATTTTTCTACAATTTCCTCCTTCTCAAAATTTCTGCTTTCTCTGCTTTGTTAATTGGGATAGTAGTTATGGTCTTTGTTTGATTCTTTGTTTTCAAAAAGTCTTCGAAGAAATCAAATGTAGGAACACTGAAAAAGCAGAAGGAAGGACAATATAATTTATGCATGTTGGGAGCTAGCTATATCCAGCTATGTGATTCTTGTTTGTTTGCTTTTGAGAATTCCGATGTTCTTTAAGAATGAAGTGTTTTGTAGATAAAGTATCAAAGAGGGATTAGCCTTAGACAAGTCAAACTTATTCACCAACACAATCCTAACAAGTTGTCTACTTATATTATATATATATATATATATATATATGTATATTTATATACACAAATATTGGGCCGAAAACTAATTATATTATACATAGACTTTCAAATTCTTCAAAAGCCATTTTGAAAGTCACGAGTATTTTTTTTTAATTAGGCAGTTTAGGTGAGTTAGTAATTAATAAAGTTAACTTACAAAACATATTCTCACATCAATAATAATAAAATTTGAATCTGTGTTGTCGTGAATTGCATTGTAATACTCCCTCCTCCCTAATACCTACCATGTGCGTAGATAAAAATTTTTTTATCCTAAATATAAGTCATTTGTGAGATATTTAACTATTAATTTTTAATTTTATTTTAGTTAATTCTCGTCGAGGAGAGAACAAAAATAGAAAGAGATGCAACCAATTTGTAAATGATACACAGAGAGAGAGTGCGCCTTAGTGACAGTAGGTTTGGAAATTTTTATCAATTTTTTTTTGTAACACAAATTTTATCAGTTATTTGTTTGCCAACAAAGATTGGAGTTAATTAGGAAACTAGTTTTGTACTTAAATATAAAATATTAACTTATAAACTGATATAATCTAATACTATATAAAGATATAATACAAGTTAAAAGAGAATTAGTAAGATACGAGTGAGCAATATAATTCTAAGTCATTCTAACAATTCAATTAATTACCACATTCATTGACTTCTTATTAACATGATTAAAAACATGAGCCTCTAACCGTATAACTTCTAGCATATTTCTCATTGAGGTCCTTCTATATCAGTTCTGATGAGATCATTTAAACTAGGAAGCATTACAATGAGGTGGTAAAGAAAAAAAATAACTATCAGTAATCTAAATGATAAGTGAGTGATTATCATTTCTTACTATAAAACTTGTCATTACAGGTCATTTATGTTATTATTATAACTTGTTAGTAATTATTCTTCCTTCAAATTTCATAACAATTCTCTCAAACTATTACTCCTTACGGGTTTCTAAATTTTATTAGTTTTCTAAAAATACCCATTTAATTATTTGTATTAAAAATTATTCTTATTGATAAAAACTTTTGTGCAATCAATAAAATTATTTTATAAAATAATTATAATTTTATAAGAGGAAATGAATTAACATCTTACATATACAATGTAAACAAACTTCTCAATTAATTTTTACATTTAGGATTTAGGATCGGAGGGAAGACGATTTTGTTTTCCCGCAGAAAAAGCCAAACAATTCTGCCTTTCACATCTTTTTATATAATTGAATTAGGTGGAATAACTATTCATACCACGAATCCAGGTTAAAATATAATATCAAGTTTGAATTTGGTGCTAAATTCAAGAACAAACACAGTGTCCTCCCCCCATTCTGAGTCATCCACGATTTTTTGAACAGTGTAAATTTTAATTCCTTAATTATTTTTAAATTTAACAATTATATAATTATTCTAATTCCATATTTTATATATCTATTAAAATTTTAAAAATATGAAAATTAGAAATCAAATAAATTTAAATTATGAATGATTTAATTTTGATCTTCATAATTGAAGTGAAGGATAAGCACAGGATCCAAACTGGCGCTAACATGGCTAGGAAAGCCAATATTTGAAGGATAAAAAACATACACGTCTTTCAATCACAACCAGATGAGTAAAGTAGCTTTTTCTTTTTTCTTGTTTTCGATTAATCCCTTGAAAATAATAAAGTTTGATTTATAATGCCAAAAGCTAGGAACTGAAACAAACTTTATCTATTCATGTATGTCTCCACTTTCATAGAAAGCACTACAAATGGAACAAGTTAAACAACTTGTTCAACTTGCAGATTTATTGACAGGCACATGGTCAAGCTTTGAAAACACTAATCAAGGTTTCATTCACTAAGAGGGTGTTTGGGTAAAAACAAAACCATGATTTTAAAAGTGTTTTTACGGTATACGAAATAAGTATGTGAAGAAATTTGTCTCGATTTGTGAAAAAGTACTTTTAAAAAATGTTTTTGAGATTACCCAAACATCCCATCTAAAGGAATTGGTTCAAATACTTTTTGAAAAGTATTTTGGAAAAGTTGGATTTGGGACAAGTGGTTAATTTATATAGATAAGAATAACTCTACCTCATCTAAAGGAATTGGTTCAAATACTTTTGAAAAAAATCAGAATTCTAACTTGGTAAACATCCCTTTTTGAAGAGATTCTTAACACTTAAGACTATTTGAAAAGCGTCATCTTAATAAATAGACTTATTAAAAAAAACAGTAGGTTAGCAATGGAATTTAATAACGAAATTTGCAAATTTTGTCGCAAAAAATGTTATCATTATTAATAGATTAGTGATGAAATTTTGTTGCTAATTTACTATTGTTGTTGTTGTCTATTTTGTCATGTGTAGTAATCCTTTAAATAAGTCATTCGAAGCTTGCATAGACAGCAAAGAGTAGGTTAGTATGTGAGTAGAGATCAAATGCTCAATTTCTCTTATTAATATAACCAAAACAAATTAATGTTCTAAGTAGAGTTCTACCAGTCTTCCATAATTTATATCGTTATCATTCATTCAGCTGCCACCCAAAAGGGGGGAAAAAAACAAAAAGCAAAGAAAAGCACCCCAAAAAAAAAGTCTATTCCATTGTTATCAGTAAGATGACATTTTACATCAATAAAATCACTTTATTATCCCCCCACCCTCATGCCTTAATCCTTTCCCTCTGAAATTCCATTCTATTCCGCGTGTCAAACATTGAGTAGGGACCAAACAATAAATGTATCATGAAGAAACAGAGATTTCAAAAGCAAAGTTTCAAGTAGCTAGGTATTTTATTAATTATGTCTGTGAGACAAACCCTTTTATTTTTTCAAAAACAAATATTAACCTTAGACCTTGCTTGTTTTTTGTATTCACATCATCATCCCAGAACCAAATAGCTTTAGGAGGTGTTTGGATGTAAACCAAACCATAGTTTTAAAAGTGTTTTTACGGTTTACGAAATAAATATGTAAAGGAGTTTGCCTCATTTTACGGAAAAGTGCTTCTTAGAAACACTTTTAGGGGGTGTTTGGATGGAAACCAAACCATGGTTTCAGAAGTGCTTTTACGGTTTACGAAGTAAATATGTGGAGGAGTTTGTTTCGTTTTGCGAAAAAGTGCTTTTTAGAAGCACTTTTAGGAGGTGTTTGGATGGAAACCAAACCGTGGTTTCAGAAGTGCTTTTACGGTTTACGAAGTAAATATGTGAAGGAGTTTGTCTCGTTTTGCAGAAAAGTGCTTCTGAGAAGCACTTTTAAGAGTTGCAAAACACTCCCTTAAGCATTCACAAACACCCCCTAATTTATACATGTATATAAAAACTTATTTTAGTAATATCCCATTTTAGGAATATCCGAGTGTTTCATTGATATTCATATAGATTTGGTCCTGTGACTACCATTAATACAAAGAAAAGTGCAGCTTTTGGATCTGATATATATTTCTGCAACAACATAAAAAAGTACAGACTTTATGTGACACAAATAGAGCTTAGAAGAAAAGAAGAAGATGATGATGACTTGCTGGGTCCTGCAAGTGTGAGCTCCAGATCATCAGGAGATGATGTGGGTGATGATGATGAAGAAGAAGATTTCATCTGCAGGGAATTATTATGCTGCCACGTCGGCACTTTTACTTCAGATTTATCTCTCTTTTCAAACAAGCTTAGGCCCATCGTCAATGTCAAGCTAGGATCCTTCTGATCATTATCTTCACTCTTCGAGCTTCCAATAGCAGATTTAACATCCTCCTCTATACCCGCCTATGATAGTATTAGGTTTAACAGAAAAGAAAATTAATTAATCTTGAGCAAAATACCAAAGCTTAAGATCAGATAATAACGGGATCAGGAAGAAGTTCAAGTTCATATATAATCCGACAATTTAATCTAATAAACTATTGGGAAAATTGTAAGTGACCTTATCAAAATAGATCGGAACCAGGTGTGGCGCGTATATTTGTTTTGGTACCAGAAGGTATTATATATATCAGGCATCAACATGGTCTCTATATAAGTACTTGTGATGTAGTATTATACCATGTCAAAGAGGCTTGATCGTCTCTTCTTCTTATTGACAGCAGCGAGTCGAAGAAAATATTTCTGAGCATGACTAGCTACTTGAGTAGGTGTTCTTGTTGTGACATAATTTCTGGAGATTCCTCTCCAATCTCCTTTCCCAAGCTTCTCGAGCCCAACCAGAAATCTTCTGTGTTCATCTTCTGTCCAACCTATTCCTATATATAAGTTTGTGATGTTAATTGAAACAAACGAAAGATTATTAAACCTCCAAGGAGAGAAATATAGATGTGTGTGTGTGTACCTTTTCTTCTGTCTTGTGCTGCAGCATCTATTAGGCCATCTGACAGATACTCAATAGAGGATCTCTCAGAGTTTTCATCAATGGTGATTCTGGATGATGAATTATTAGAGAATGAGGAAGATGGAGAAGATGAAGATGAAGAAGCTGGTAAAGAATCCACGCTCAAGCTTTTCTTCATGGAAAAAACACAAGAAGAAGGAGCAGAAGCAGAAGAAGAAGTTTCTAGCTGAACACCAAAGAGACGAAGCCCTACATAAGTGCCTCTAGGAGATGTGCAAGTCCTAGAATTATGTCCTGTTTTCCCACAATGCGAGCACTTCCTCGCCATTCTTACTTTCACACACACACACACACACACAGGCAGAGACACAGAGAGAGAGAGAAGAGAGAGAGAGAGAGAGAGAGAGAGAGAGAGGGAGGGAGGGAGGGAGAGGGAGAGAAGAAGGAAGGGAGAACAGAGAATTTAGATATGTTTAGAGGTATATATTATGGTGAAGAGGCTGATGGTGGGGTTAAGTTGAACGCACACAAAGCTGATTACTCCATATATAATTTATTTTTGCAGTTTTTTTCTTGAATATCTTTTTCTGTGGCACACAAAAAGAAATCACTAGGAGATTATATGGGGTATTAATAATTGTTCTTCAATTTATGGCTGATACACTATTTATGTAGCCATATAATGCAAATAGTTAACTACTATCTCTGATTATTAATATAAATTTAGTTGAAAAACTATATTTGGTTCTAAATATAAAGTCTTAATTCATTTTGGTTCTTATATATATATATATATATATATATATATAATTTTTTTCTAGACTCTCTATTGGTTGGCTATGTTATATTTTTTTCCTAGACTCTTTATTGGTTGGCTATGTTATAGGGTTCTATTAGAGTCGGTAATATGAGTTGAGCTCCGGCCATAAGGTGGCGGGTTGGGTTGAAAAAAATAGAGACCATTTTGATGCGGTCCTTTCCACCCTTCACTCACCAACCCGCAGCCCCCCGCAGCCAATCCTTTTTTTTTTTAAATTTTTTTAATTTTAATAAGAAAAAGTTTTATTATTTTCATTTAATTTACATATAACTTTGAATTTTGTTAGAGACTTTGATTTTGAATTTGATTTCTCATTTTCTTTATTGTTTTACTATTTTTATACTAATAAATATTTATTAACAATGAATTATATGCTTATATTTCAACTTTTGAGATTAATTTAATTATATAATTATATGAAAAATATAAGAATAAGAAGAATTTGACCTATAAAAATTTATAATTTAATTTAAAAAACTTTAAATATATGTGTAAAAAAATTTTAAAAAAAAGATGGAGGTTGGCGGGTTCTTAACGGGGAAGGCTAGCAAAATGTGAGCCTCCCAGGAGGCAATCCTTTTAGGATCGGCCCCCATGGTCTTGAGCTTGCGGTGGGCTAGCTTGTAACTAGCGAGCCAACTCATTTTACCACCTCTAGGTTTCATCAAACCAAAGAGTAATTACAATATAAATTATCAAATATGATATCTTAGTGGGAAAACATGTATTTTTTTATAGCTAACTAATTTCATTAATTTTTTAATTTTTATAAATTAGTTATCTAACTTTTATTTTAAGAACTAAAGAAATAGTATATGTTATGAGTTTTGCATAAGAATCTCACAAGTGAAGGGTAATTATAAATTCCAGCAAATTTTTCATTTTGAAATGAAGTTTTCTCTTGACTTGTGCCCATTATAGCATTATATTTTTCTCGGTACTTCAATATAATTTGCCTGACCAATACTTTATGTTTAAACTTATTCTAAAAATTTTTATTATGGTAATAAATTATTGATTGATTTTTGTATCAAAATGGTCAAGAATTCAATTCAGGTGAGAAATTTTCATTTCATTTACGGGTAATTATTATATAGTCTTCTAATTAGTTCCATTGGGAATTTGGGATATACTCTTTGTAATAATTTTTAAATATAAGAAAATAATTAAAAAATTTCTTCCAAGGGCATGATTCTTGTTCAAAACGTGGTACAATATGTAGAAACATTGAACCAGAAGTTTCACTTCATAATATTACAATATCTTTGGGAGGTAGGTTTGTGACTTTAAGTAAAAGAAATATCGTAGAATATCTGAAACTTTGAAAGTTATGTCCATTAATCAACATTGCTTTCAATTGGAATTACTACGCGTTTGTGTATATATTATTTAATTATTTAAAACAAAAGCGTGAAGAGGACGAGAAGAATAAAATTTCCCAACTTTGATTTGAATGCTCAAATTTCAAATTTCAAATTTTCAAGTTTCTACAGAAAATGAAAAGATGGAAAATTAGTCGTCCTTTCATAACATTCTAGTAAGTATTATTCCTCAGGATTGTGTGTTCAAAGTCAGAACATATCCTTTCTTTGTGAAAGGTAGGAAATTGAGTCCCAGTTTCTCACTATTATTATTATTATTATTATTGACATTGATGACCTTTTCAATTTCGATTATTATTAAAATAAAAAACAGAACACAAAAGTTAAGTACCACTAGACAAATCCCATCAAGCTGTTAAAGTACTATATGGGCAGATGACTTTTCCAAAACAAAACATATATTTAATGTAATCCATAGGCTTTTTAAATTTAATAAAATATTGAAAAATGGGACCGGTCATTGAACTAATAAAAAACATTTAAGGATAAATAGTTTTAATAATGGTTGGACAGATATTATTAACTCAATCATGATTAAAATAATACAATTTAATTAAAATATGTAAAATATCCATATCTATAATTATGAAATGGGAAATATCTAAATAAAAACACTAATTTGCAAGTACATTCATATATAAATCACAGAAAATTCAATAAAATAGAGATATCAAAATAAAAATATAAGGAATTGTTTTTTTTTTAATTTCAAAACAGCGTCGTTTCATGTTTAGTAAAAAGAAAAAAAATATAAAAAATCTAACATGATCAATGTATTCAGAACTCGAGTGGATCAAGTAAGAAACTAATTTACTGTTTTAATGATCTAATTGGACAACTCGAATTGTATTTTAATACCATAATTTAACTATACGCTGCAATTGCAATTCATGCAGCCCAAAGTGTGTGTACTTCCCATAATTCGTGAAGTACTCATGATATTTATTAGGTTAAGGTGCATCCAGCACCCCAGGTATTTTGTCAGGTGCATCCAGTGGCCTAAAGTAATTTATGGTGCAATTTTGCCCTCAAAGTAATTAAAATGGTGCACCGGTATCTTATGCTAACAGATCTGTTACTTTGACTGTGAAATTGATGAGTCAGCACTAGTTTGACCAAAATAATCTGACCTGACATGTCTAGTAAGTAGGTGATGTGGAATTTTTTTCGTCTGCTACTGCTTTGTTTTCTCGGTTCAATAAATGCTCTCTTCAGCTCTTGGAATTTTTTTAGAGTAAGAAATTTTTTCATAGATACTCCTCTGGTCCTATTTATAGGGTAGAGAGAGAAAATATTTTTTGGTCATATTTATAAAGCACTGAGAGAAATTTTTTGTATGAATGTACAAATTTACCCCTCATTTATTATTGTATTGACTTTGTTTATATGAGGTATAATGTATATTAAATAGGGATAAAGTTGAAAAGTTATTAAAATTTAAATGAGAGTTAATGAAATTTAAGGTTTTTCTTGGTCTGTGTGAAACATGCTGGAAGTGCCTTATAAATAGGACCAGAGGAGTAATATTCAGACAAAACAATGAAATTAACAAGAAAAGTCATGTCATCTGCTTATTAGACATGCCAGGTCAGATTATTTTGGTCAAACTTGTTCTGACTCATCAATTTCACAGTCAAAGTAACAGATCTATTAGCATAGGATACCGGTGTACCATTTTAATTACTTTGAGGGCAAAATTGCACCATAAATTACTTTAGATCACTGGGTGCACCTGGAAAAATACTTGGGGGTGCTGGATGCACCTTAATCCTAAAAAAATTCCACATCACCTGCTTATTAGACATGCCACGTCAGCTTATTTTGGTCAAACTTGTGCTGACTCATCAATTTAACGGTCAAAGTAACAGATCTGTTAGCATGGGATACCGGTGTACCATTTTAATTACTTTGAGGACAAAATTGCACCATAAATTACTTTAGACCACTGGGTACACCTGATAAAATACTTGGGGGTGCTGGGTGCACCTTAACCCTATTTATTATGTATACATAAAACTGAAGCTATTTCTAATGCCCCATGTGATGATTTATTTATTTTAGTGCTGCGTTATTTACTACACTAAAGTGAAATATCGTCATTTCAAAACTTGGGATAAATGAACATTTAAAAAAAAAAAAAAAGATTGGAAACTCAAAAAACTATACTAAACTGTCTTGCCCCCAAACTTGGCCTCAACTATGGTGAGAATTTGAGATATGAAATACTGCCTTCTATTCTTAAAATAACTTATCTCTTATATTTATTTATTTTTTAAAATAATCTTTATAATAGCTGTACATGTTAAATATTTTAGTCTGTGCATGTTAAATATTCTATCAAGTTATAGTTTTATCTAATATACATACACTACCTTCCATCCTTAATACTACCTCCGGTTTTTAATACTACCTTCAGTCCTTAATATAAGACCTTGTTTGACTTTTATTTTAATCCTGAATACAAGACTCCAATATAATTTGTCTCTTATATTTATGCATTTTTCCTAAGGTAATCCTTCTAATAATAGTAGTTTTAGCCAATACACTTAATTAGTAAGGATATTTTAGGAAAAAAACACTTATTTATTACAAATAACTAACTTAACTTCTTTTCTTAATCTATTCAAATTAGTCAACTAGTTCTTATATTTAGGACCGGAGGTAGTATAAGAACTAGTTAACTAATTTGAGCAAATTAAGAAAATTAGTTAGATTAGTTATTGATAATAAATAGGTATTGTCTTTTCAAGGTTAATTGTTGATGATAAATAAGTATTGTTTTTCTAAAATATCTTTGTTAATCAAGTGTATTGGTTAGAACTACTATTATTACAAGGACTATCTTGGAAAAAAATGAATAGATATGAGAGACAAAACGGATTGTGGTCTTATATTTAGAACTAAAATAAAAGTTGAACGAGCTCTTATATTAAAAGCTGGAGATAGTATAAGAGCTAGTTGACTTATTTGAAGAGACTAAAGAAGTTAGTTAACTTAGTTATATATAATACTCCTCCGATCCTAAATGTAAGACCCTTATACAAGTGTGTATAAGGGTCTTACATTTAGGACCGGAGGAGTAAATAAATATTGTGTTTCTTAAAATACCCTTACTAATAATGTGTATTAGAATTGACTTTTATAAAAACCTTTAATATATGCGACCAATATAAGGATTATTTTGGGGAGAGATAAATAAATATAAAAGTCAAAATAGATTGAAGTGTTATATTTAGAATCAAATTAAATATTAAACTTGCTCTTATATTAATTATTAAAAACTGGAGGTAGTACATAATTAGCAAGGGTATTTTCAGAAAGACAATACCTAATTATTATAAATAATTTATTTAACAAACTTTCTTAATCTAATTAAATTAATCAACTAACTCTTATATTAAAAAGAGAATATATTATAATATTTTTGGGTTTGTGTGTGTTTTGGTAATTGTATTCTGTTTCACTGGCAAAAAAACATGACACGTGGTAGTGCAGCTGGGGCAACTTACCATTATCAAGCTTAAACAACTGGAGACATTGTTAGATGGCAGATCAAAGCAAACCTTGAAAATCATCTTAATAATATTAGACTTAAAACTGAGCCTCTTGCATGTTTAGAATCTGAATCTCAAACTAATTAATTATTTTACACGAGTTAAGAAAATTAGTTAAAAGTAATTATTTTATTTTTATAAAACCTCAAAATTACCCATTGATAAAATTAATTAGTTAATTAGAAGAAACTGTTTACTTAATTATTAGGAAGTTTTATAGTTAATTAGCGATATTAAGTGAAAAAAGTTATTGTCTCCAATGATTATTATAAGTACCTAATAATAACTTTATATAAAATTAATGAAGTTGAACAAAATTAGTTATTTCTTGTCAAATACTACCTATGATTCTAATTATAAGAGCTAGTTGACTAATTTGAGGAAATTAAGAAAATAAGTTAGTTAGTTATTTATAATAAATATGTATTGTCTTTCTTAAAATATCCTTGTTAATCAAATTTATTGGCTAGAACTACTATTATTAAAGGGACTACCTTGGAAAAAATATACAAATATAGGAGATAAAGTGGATTAGGATCTTATAATTAGAATTAAAATAAAATTCAAACGAAATCTTATATTAAGGACCAGAGGTAGTATCAAAATTATCCTCAACAAAAATCATTAATTAGAGAAGGGTGGTTAATTAGTTAGGATGTTTTACATTAATTAATACTAAGCGAAAAAAATTAACGATTTAAACAAAATATATCATATTATGAATCATGCTGGATTTTCTTATAATAAAAATCGAAATGAGTAATATTTTACACAAAAATAAACACATGAGGGGGAAAATGATCTCTTAGGTCCAACTTGTTGAGATTTTGAGTTCGGATTAGTTTAATAACAATAATGATGCAAGTTGAATGGAAGCCAAGTGGGAGCATTCTTTAGTACTTTTTGTTTCTGTAGTCCAAACACATTCATTCGTCAGGTAATTGACACTCATTTGGAATTATCCCTCAAAGAATCTTCTTCATCAAAAGATACTGTTCTTGCTGTAAACATGATTTTATTATTATTATTATATGATAGGGAAATAATAGTTAGGTTCCAAATAATTAATTTAACTACAATTAGGTCTCAAAATAATTTTTTACAACAAAGATTTTTTATTTGTAACTTTATAGAATATAATTTACAATTACTTTGCCATAACCACAAATTGCAGCTAGGGATTGCTTTGTGACCTAACTATAATTAACTTATGCACTTGCCCTTTCCATATCTTTAATTTGGTAACTATTAAATTAGCATAAGACTCTTATTAATACTCGTTTTTCTTCAAAGCTAGGAAGTCGAGAGTGAATATTTTTGTTTATGACTTATAAAGTTACGAATAACATAACTTATTACTTACTCTGATCTTAAATGTATCGATGAAATAGTTGGTTTTACCTACGAAGAAGACTTATCAGGTCAAATTTCTTACATTCGTTATATTAAGTTTTATAATCACACATAGTCATGATTGGAGAATATGATGGATATAAAAATCTTGATTGAAGTATTGTCCTGTACATATATATAAATTAATTAAATTAGTTATTTGTAATAAATGTATACTTATTTTCCTAATATAACTTTTTAATCACTATCCTCATTACATTGATGAAAACCTCCTTTAGTATATGCAATCAATAAGTATAATTTGAAATAAAATTATAAATTTGGGAGATAAACTATAGGTTATAAATACTAATGATTTAGAGAAATTATTTATGGTGTGAAGATTTAAACTCTTTTTATATGGTTATATGACGGGGTCTAATTCGGATATTATTAAGTCCATCCGAGGATAAATTTTTCAAAAAGATTGACGAATTCAAACTTGAAATCTCGTGTTTAAACGGTCAAAACCCGACTATCACACCGCTGATAGCTCAAATAACCAATAGTGCCGTCTATGAATTTTACATCAAAAATTCCTCTAATTGGTTTGTTGAATTAAAAGGAAGACGTTGTGCGCACCAATAAATCACACACACACACACATCAGGTATTTTTGAAATCATATCTTTCTTCTTTTCTTTTCTTTTCTTTTTTCGGCCTGATACGATTATCCATTTTCTTGTTCAATATATATATATATGATGTGTCCTTCTAGAACATTTATCTCCACTATTAATTTACTCGTATTCTAAACGCAAAAGCTATTAAGTTTTTGAAGCTCTCTGAAGCATCAAGTGCCGGGTGAATAGAATAATAATTACATATATATATATATATGTATTCTTATAAATATTCAATCAACTTTCAGCATTTATTTGGAAATCTTTTACAATCCACTTGCCAAGTAAAAAATAATATCATATTAGTGAAAGTACAGTACTAATTTATCTTTTTGCCTTTAACCTGTCTAAAAATATTATTAACCATCGCCATCAACATTTACCAATCCCATTATAATTATATTGTTGATAGATATCTTTTTCCCCGGAGCACAGATATTACAGACTGATTTTTTTTTTTCATTTTTTAAAGGAGAAAATATATTCCAAAAATCCAAGACAAAAAGTTCAACAAATTACATATATTATATTATATTAATTTCTTTTAAGAATTATAGTTATTTTTCCAATATTTTTTTTAATGATATCCACAAGCTTTTAAAATACACATTGGATTCTAACTAATTAAATTGAGTCTGATTAGACCATATGAGTGTAAATTTTTTTTAAGTAGAAAACTGTATTCCATTAATTCAAAAGAGAATTACAAACAAAAACCCTTGTAGGCACCTCTTGACAATAAGGTCGAGTATCATCTCTTTTTCAATTCAGTTACAACTTTACTAATAGGCTTTGACCCTAGTCAAAAGGGTTTTGAATGCTTAAGTATTACGTCTCAATTCAAGTTTGTGAAAATGCAAAAAACAAAAACCTTTGAAAGAGCTACCTCCAATTGAGTTCAACAATGTTCAAATATGATCTGATTAAGATAACTGTATAAAAAAGAAAAAACCACAATTTTCTCCATATACAAAACTTGAATTGGATACCCACTTGAAAGAACAAGTTCAAAACCACTTAATACAAATTGTCATTGATATTTTTTCAATGTAAATACCATCAAAATACCACGCTATATGTGATTTGTGGATAAATTAGATCACCTGGAATTTAATATTATTATTAATATGGATAAGAACACCCACCATGCACGCCTATTTCTGCATTTTTATTTACCTTGCCAAATTGAGGCATGAACTTTGTCACAATTCACAGCAAACCCATATCATTGGTCTATTAAGGAGAAAAAGAGCACTAATTTCAAACTTAAGAAGAGGAGAAAAAGTAAAGAACGGATGAGGTTAGTTCATAGGTCACAATCAATCAATAATGTACAAACCATGAAAAATCATTGGTAGTTAGTCTCCCATTTGCTTTTTGATCGTATCATTCATTCTTATTATCATATTATATACTAAAGAAAGAAAGAAAGAACAACAGTAGAAAGTATGGGTATCACTAAATGTCCAATGTACATGCACTTTGATAACTGAGATATTTTGTCTGTTTCAGTGGCACTCCACTTGGTGGTGGTGAAGGATCAAAGAGATGAGCACTTTGAGTTTTGTTAATTAAGTTGAAGTAAATCTTGCAATTTTCTAATACACTTTGATGTGGCTTTCTAATTTTGCAAAGAGTTGTAATCCAGAGTAATGACTTTCTTTAAGTCAAAAGTTACAAATATAACAACCAATGAGGGTTGGTATAGGTGATAAGGACCAATGCCTCACAACATGCTTGCTTCGATTCTAGGAAATTATCTTTTGGTTGGTTGATTTCTTTAATGTTGATATTAGTGGGTAATTAGAAACCTTTCATTCTTTTGCCATAAAAAAAAAGTACAATTACAATGAATACTACCTCCTGTCCTTGATACAATAGCTAAACAAGAGATAATTTTTATTAATTACTAAATTTATAATTTTCTCACTAAAATATTCCTATTGCACATGTTAAGTAATTCTATTAGATAATTCCAATGTACATGATTAGGTTATTATAGAAAAGTCAACACCCATTTATTATACATAACTAGCTAAATTAATTTTTTTAATATTTTTAAATTAGTTACTTATATCTAGCTCTTATATTAGAAATTTAGAACCACAGGTGGCATTATTTTATAATTGCTTGACGACACATTTGTAGATAATGATTCGTAAGTCAATATCAGAGTGTGCTATATCTTATCTGCCCAATAATTCCAATCAGAGCTATCAAAGGAGTATACTATAAACAATTTAAGGCACTAATCAATATAGATTACATTAGCATTAAATGATCTCTTTAGATCCCGAACAATCAAATCAAGAAGGGGAAAACTTGGAGTCCAAAATCAATCGGCCGTTGAACGCAGAAATGATTGTCATAACAAGACAAAAACGGGCTGCCAAATGATCCTGCATTATCTGGATTTAGAATCTGACACATTCCCACGTAACTGCTCAAGTCAATTACTTGAATCCAAAATTACAATTGGTAAGAAGAAAGCAACTCGCTTCATACCATAATTTGAAGTTCTTATGGTCTAAAGATTATACAGAATAGAAGTAGCTACGCCATTAATGCAAAACTGTACTGGCACTACTATACCTCTTGAAATCTCCGTTTCAGAAATCAATATTTGGAAACCTACAAGAATTCATCGTTTCCATCAATATTTTTCTTCTTAATATCGTAATAACTACTCTTCATGCCAAAATTGCTTCAGTGTACACTGACTTTACACAGTTGCCAGAACACCTGTCATGGTTTACCCCATAGAATGCACATGAGCTTGTAAGTTAAGCTAAAAACTGCATGATATATCTGCAAAACTATCAACTCTTTACACTAAACACAATTATGTAATATAGTATTTTAATCATGAGTTGATTTCCTTGACCCAAGAAGTCTTATTTAGGGGGTGTTTGGATGGAAACCAAACCATGATTTCAGAAGTGATTTTACGGTCTACGAGATAAATATGTAGAGGAGTTTATCTCGATTTGCGAAAAAGTGCTTCTTAGAAGCACTTTTCAGGGTATCCAAACACCCCTTTAAATGGGGATGGCAAGCAGAGTATTTATGAGTAAAGCGTGTAATGACACAGGAGGAGTGGCGCAGAACCTCTTGGTATATCCGTGTGTGTATGCTCTCTTTATCATGCTTCAAGAGCTAATCAAGTCACTGAACTTGCATATTCCGCGTCGATCTTCTACAAAAGAATCACGGATAGATTTCAACATTGTACGCACAGCAGGAAAGTGAGTCAATTCTTCATGCTTCTCCTGCAAAAGTAGTTCAATTAAGATTTGACCCCAGAAGGAAGCCTCCAGATCCATAACTTAATTACTCAAAGCAGCATAAAAGCACAAGGGAATACCACATCAGCAAGCCTTTCTTCAAAGGACCTCGTATTTGAATATGAGGGCATGAATATCTTTCTATAAGCTGTTCTAAGGCTCCTGATCTAGAATGTTGCGCAACAACTATTAGTTGCAAAATAAGATCTAATTTAAATTGAAATTAAATGAACTTAACATTTTATCAGCAAGAACCTCTGTATTGCTGAATCCACATCGAGTAAGGCCCACTACATTTAGACCACGAAGTTCAGCTCTTTCTCCAGACACCATCATGTATTTGGGGACATCTTGTGAAACCTTCATTTATGCAACTACAAGGCATTATAGCTACAGCAACTCGTTTGGCATAAACTAACTGTAGAAGTTTGTTGCTCAACAAGTTATTCAATAAAGACTTCCTAGAATTAGCAATTTAATGCAAAGTGGACATTATCCTTATGTGTAAGACTCCATCTATAGAGACTGGTACTACTATAAAGTTCAGCTATTATTTAAATCCAACGATGAAATCAATGGCATATTACATTCCAAAACTAAGGACAAAACCCTTTTTAGCATAATAGCTACTCAAGGCCAGCAGACTGAGAGATGACCTTACCACAGAACCACCACCAAGAAAAGAGTAGGAGCCAAGATGGCAGAATTGGTGAACAACGACGGCACCTGCAGTGTGAACATAGTCCTACATTTTGAAAAGTTCTGATTAATTTTACAATCATACATGCTAAAAAAATAAATTTGCATGAATTTCTCTTCCTTAAAACAAAAATCATTCGTTTGAAAAGGGCATACCTCAACTACGACATGCCCAGCTAGAAGAGTATTATTTGCAAAAATATTGTCGTTACCAATCTTGCAATCATGGGCAATATGACAAGATCCCATGATGAGATTGTTATCCCCAATAACCTGATCATATTGCGCCAGTTAGAGTATTAAAAACTACATACACACACATAAACAAATGGGCAATCTTCTTACGGTTGCATCAGTTGACTTTGAAGATCGGTGGATTGAAGTATGTTCCCTAATGTCATTGTTGTCACCAACTTCCAGGAAACATTCATCCTCTGGCTAAATAGCAGCATAATTATGAGCATTTATGACCCAAAAGAACAACAAAGAGAGATGAATTACATGACCATGCTACAAATGAAATGTGTACATATAATATAATCCAGCCCATTCATAGTTTAATAAAGAGGTCATTAGCTATCTCACTTAAAGAGTTATAGCATATAGCAGGACATTCTAATTGCTAAGTACATTTGCGGGTTAGCAAGTGGTCTTTAGGCATGTGACATCGAAAATAAGCATCCACAAAAAATCACTATTTCAGACATCTGTTTGTTAGGAACTCTACTTCATAGTTTTCCGTTACAGGTCTACCGTGCCTTGTCAGGTTCTTAGACACAATCCCCTATTGCATGAGTCTTCCATGGTGGTTTACGTCTTTACTCTCAGTTAGAACTAACTAGAATATACCAAGTGATTAGTTGTCTATATACGTTAAGAAAATATCCAAAAAGCCTAGAATAATAGAGGTTATAACATTCATGATGAGAATGCCACTCTACTAGTCATTTCATGTTATGCATTAATTTAGTCCCAACTCCCAACAGCATGAATATAACGATGATAACATGATTTCCATTTCAACAATCAGAACCCAAAGGGTAAATTGACATAGAGTGAGTGCTGTCAATAAGATAAATCACGACACACAGACAGAGTCCCTTAATGTGAATAGCAACTGATAAGGTACCTTATATTTCAAGTCTTGACATTTCACACCAATTACAGCATGATACCCTATTATATTATTTCTTCCGATGATTGTACATCCAGGAAGATCGTCACCAACAACTGCACCGCTGCCAAATATATTTCCCCAAATATGTGATCAAATAATGGTCCGATAGAAATTATTCCAAGCAGAAAGCAGAAAATTTGGCAAATCTGAAAGTCTTAGGTCTGAACTCACGTCATCAAAGTACAGTTGTTTCCTAATTCAGTACTTCCAAAAATATGGCTTCCTGGATATAGCTTACAAAAATGGCCAAGCTTTGCGGAGGAACTCACAGAACAAAAAGGTCCTACGGAAACCCCCTAAGCATAACAGCACAGCAGGAGACCAATCACTAGAAAACATTAGGCATAATAGCAGGAGATCAATCACTAGAAAAGATTAAGCAGTGCAAAATATGTTTGATGAGCTCAAAAGGACAAAAGCCTGCATTAATACTCGAAGACTCCATTACATGTACAGTATTCCACACCACATTATGAACATAAATGGCATATTATCCAATCCGAGCTTTACTCTTGTCCCTCTTCTTTTTTCTTTCTCAAATTCCAAAATCTTTGCTGCATATCAAGCAAGCCAAAATTACCCGAGTTGACAGCTCTTAAAGGAACAGTAAACTCAACACTAATTCTCACTGAAACGAGCAACAATAAGAGTGTTATCTATAGAAGAGTTCTGAGTTCCAGCCACGATCACAGTCCCACCAGCACCGTACATTATACACTCAAAACAGAAACGGAAAGAGACACGACATGTAGACGTATGTTCTCAGCCTAGAGCTACCTCACAAGACCCTATGCAATCCTAATGAAACAAAGAATACCGACAGGAAGAAAAACCGAGATAGTGAATATGTGAAGTGAAGAATTCAGCTTCAAGAAATTACCTCGCCAATGATGGCATCGGGATGAACAATCGAACTGGGGTGAATTAAGCTTGAAGTCCCTCTATCTGAAGCTTCCATCCTCTTATTCTGGGCAGCATCTAAGGGATGATAGACAAAACCTACAGTCAAGATCGGTCAAAAGAAAATTAGAAAGGAAAAAAATCTACAAATTCAAACAAGAAAGGAGATAGAGAGAAGATTACATGAGAAGCAGCGACAGTATAAGAGCGAGCTTTGGCGGGTTGATAAATAGGGCCCGCGAAGTTTGAGAAGATATTCAAACATGTTCGTGTGCGGCCTCGTCTTCCCTGAGCTTCCACCTCACAACTCACAAAATGCAATCTATCTTCAAAACCAAACTCACCCGAATAGAAATGTCATATGCCTGAAACTACCCAACAAAAGTACAAATGCGATTTACCTCACAACTCACAAAAGGGAATTGCTCTTTTACAGCACTTTGATCTATGCCATATATACTCGCAGAAGGGATTCTAGTGTTTGAGTCGATACAAGCAAGACATTGGATTGAAAATTTGAATTCACGCAGGTTCCACATAGAATCAGGTTTTGCTGAGGGGTTAACACTTGACAACGATTACCGGGGCAGCAATTAGAAAGCAGTTTGGGAGCGACGCACAAGCTCTTGTGCTAAGCACAAGAAAGTTTATTATAACAGTGGTTTATAATAAATACTCCTCCGGTCCTTCATATAAATTAAGTAATTTGATTAGATTAAAAAAGTTAAGTAAGTTAGTTAATTATAAGAAAAGTGACACATTTTTTCTAAAACACCATAATCATCTTTCTTAATACCCCTCTCTCTTCTACTTGATTATGGTTGAGGGAGTATCCATAGGAGTAATTTAGAAAAAATTGATAAATATGATAAATGGGTCTTATATTTAGAACCAAAATCAACTCAAAAATTAGATCCTATATTAAGGACCGGAGGAGTAGTTATGGTTTGTATTAAAATATTTTTACTAATCATATATATTAATTAAAATTATTATTTTATAAATTATTTTAAAAATAATAAATATAAAAAATAAAATAAATATTTTTTAGGGAAAATGACAGATAAAGAAGGTGGAATATCTGAAATTCCAATTTGGGAAGCTAAGCAAATGTAATGACAATGAGGGAAGTACTTCCCAAATTAGAATTTTGAAATTCAGTGAAATGACAAAAATGCCCTTTGTCTTTTTTTTTTTTAAAAAAACACCCAACCTCTCACCAGTGGCCGGCCGCCGGCAACCACCGCCGGCAATTGGCCGCCGTCGGCCGGCGGCCACCACCGGGCCCCGCCGCCGGCGGCCGGTGTGGTGGCTGCCGGTGGAAGTTTTTTGTAATAGTTTTTTGTGTGTGTGGGAGAATATTACAAGAAGTGGTAGGGGTGGGATTTGATCCCACGACCCCTTGGCCATTTGGGCCAACAAAAGGACAGATGACCATTGGGCCATCAAAGACTTCTTAGCTTTATAATGCAAACAAAAATATAAGTTGACTCTTTTACTGTGACTCCAGCCCGTGACAATAATTTACCTCAGGATGACAAGTCTTAATTGAGAAATAACAAGTCTAAATTTGATATTAACAAAGCGACTTTTCCTGATACATAATAAGAAGTAACAGTATATTAATTAAAAATGACAGTTTATTTGAATATGACACGTCTTTACTAAAAATGACACGTCTAAACGTGAGATTAATAATATGTCTTTTTTTTATATATATAAACAAGAAGTAGCATGTATATTAATTAAAAATGACCATAATTTATTTGAAAATGACACATCTTTACTGAAAAATGACAAGTCTAAACTTGAGATTAACAATGTATCTTCTCCTGATACATAACAAGAAATAGCATGTACATTAATTAAAAATGACCATAATTTATTTGAAAATGACATGTCTTGTTATGTATCAGGAGAAGACATATTGTTAATGCTACTTTTTGTTATGTATTAGGAGAAGACACATTGTTAATCTTAAATTTAGATTTGTCATTTTTCAGTATAAGACATATTGTTAATGTTACTTCTTGTAATGTATTAGGAGAAGACACATTGTTAATCTCAAGTTTAGACTTGTCTTGTTATGTATCAGGAGAAGACATATTATTAATGCTACTTTTTATTATGTATCAGGAGAAGACACATTGTTAATCTAAAATTTAGACTTGTCATTTTTCAGTAGAAGACATATTGTTAATGCTACTTCTTGTTATGTATCAGGAGAAGACACATTGTTAATCTTAAGTTTAGACTTGTCATTTTTCAGTAAAGATGTGTCATTTTCAAATAAATTATGGTCATTTTTAATTAATGTACATGCTACTTCTTGTTATATATATATAAAAAAAAAAAAGGCATATTGTTAATCTCACGTTTAGACGTGTCATTTTTAGTAAAGACGTGTCATATTCAAATAAACTGTCATTTTTAATTAATATACTGTTACTTCTTATTATGTATCAGGAAAAGTCGCTTTGTTAATATCAAATTTAGACTTGTTATTTCTCAATTAAGACTTGTCATCCTGAGGTAAATTATTGTCACGGGTTGGAGTCACAGTAAAAGAGTCAACTTATATTTTTGTTTGCATTATAAAGCTAAGAAGTTTTTGATGGCCCAATGGTCATCTGTCCTTTTGTTGGCCCAAATGGCCAAGGGGTCGTGGGATCAAATCCCACCCTTACCACTTCTTGTAATATTCTCCCACACACACAAAAAACTATTACAAAAAACTTCCACCGGCAGCCACCACACCGGCCGCCGGCGGCGGGGCCCGGTGGTGGCCGCCGGCCGACGGCGGCCAATTGCCGGCGGTGGTTGCCGGCGGCCGGCCACCGGTGAGAGGTTGGGTTTTTTTTTTAAAAAAAAAAAAAACAAAGGGTATTTTTGTCATTTCACTGAATTTCAAAATTCCAATTTGGGAAGTACTTCCCTCATTGTCATTACATTTGCTTAGCTTCCCAAATTGAAATTTCAGATATTCCACCTTCTTTATCTGTCATTTTCCCTATTTTTTAAGTCCTAATATTTAGGATTTATATATCTGAAGCGCCCATGACATCGTACCAACGAATATTTAGGTGTGCACCGTACTGCACACCCTTTTTTTGTGTTTTTTTTTTTTGGGTTTTTTACCAGAACGAGTATATTTGCTCGCAGTGGCAATGGCGCCGACCCTATTTAAATACAACTTAGCATTCAGAATATGAACAATTGCATAGGAGTCCGTTTGGTATGATTGAATTTAGGAGCATGGAAATGAAAATGAAAATAGAAATGGGAGAAATGTGTGTTTGGAAGCATGAAGTTGGAAAATTTTCCAATTCTATTTTCACCAAAAATACATGGAATTAAATTCCATGTCATACCTTAGTGCCTTGTTTGCTATAATGGAAGAGATTTTCGTGAGTGTTTGTTATGTGGGTTTCTTTCTAGTTTCGCAACGGGCATCCACGGAAGAAGTAGTCTTGTCTTTAAATGTACGAGTGTGTTTATTTTGAACTTCTTGTATCTTTTGTTTTTTAATGTATAATTGATCATTTTATTAAAAAAAAAGAAGATGATAGCCATTCTGTGCCATATGTATTGATATCCTTTTGCAAAGTTACTAGTCACCTAATAATTTTTGGTGGGTTATGTATAAGTAAACCCACCAGATTGTATCATAATTTTGAATAGCAGGAGCATTCAGTTTGTTCCAATCTAGTTCTAATCAATTTGGGATAAGGCAAAATCAAAATTTTGAGATAGAACAAGTATGTGACAGGATAAAACAATAATTGGGATGGAATAGGGTCGTCCGATTCCATCTCAGGTTTTTTCTTAAAAAAATTTATTTGTTAATAGTTTTTATTAGATTATTCAATTCTTTTTTTTAAGAATAATTATTTTTATAATGATTTTCAGCTTTTGAGTTATAATATTATCTTAATAAAATTTTCTTTCTTAATAAAATAATTTATAATAGGCGCTACTATATATTGTTTCTTGTATGGTAGTTCTTTTTTTTTTTTATATAGTATTGTTTTTATTTCTTTTTTAATTATATAATTGGGCTTTCTATATAGTTTTTTTTAGTATTTTTGTCTTTAGAAAACCCAATAAAAAACAAGTATTACAACATTAAAAAAAATACAGGCCCGAATTATATTAATTTTTAAAAAAACAAAATTAAAATGGGATGTCCCGTTCCATCCTGATCCTAATAGGATTAGGATGGCCTCGAAACGGGACGAGACACTAGAAATCTCGTCCTGTGAACAAAAAAGTCACTATAGTTTGGTGATATTGTGGTGGCTTTGAGGATTTAGAAATCACCCATGTTAGTTGATCTTTGTTTTTTTGTCTATAATTACTTTTTTCCCCCTCTTTTATTTCTGCTTGCTTTTTAGTTTGCAGTAGACGTTTTAGTTCTGGTAAGTTAATCACGTCAGTTGCAACCTGACTTCTCAACTCAACTTATAAGCATGTATGTGGATTAGCGGTAGTAAAACGTATTTTTATTTTATTTGATTATTACAAAAATTAGTTAGGGTAAAAGTTAGTTAACATGATGTGATTTATATTTATATTGACTTTCATAAAAAAAAGTCAATTTAACAAATTGAAACTTATTTGGATGAGTAAAAAAAAACGACTAAAAAAGATACAAACTTTATTATACATATAAATAATGTATATAATTGAAAAACACTTCATCATATATATTTATGCTATGTTTGGATGGAGAGAAAATGAAAGAAGAAGGAAAACTAAGAAAGAAAATGGGAGGAGAAGTGGTTTTTTCCCTGTTTGGATGAGGAAAGAAAAGTTAGGAAGAAAATGAGGTGGGTCCCATAGCTCATTTTTCTCCTAATTTTTCTCTCATATATGAAGAGAAAATGAGAAGAAAACATATTTTTTCTCTTTACCCTTATATTTTTTCATTTTTTCACTTTATTTATTATTATTAAGTCTCTCTTTTGTGTTTGCTTGATTGAAAAATAAAATAACTAAAATTGGAAAAATCCTTCTAAAATGAACTGAAAGGAAAAACAAGTAGAGTTATTGTTTTGGTTTTTTTAGCATTACAATACACAAAATGTTTTTTTTATTTTTTTACAAAATTATTTGATATTAAAATATAATAACATGATAATATATCTTTATCTAATAATTTGATTTTAAATTATATGATTATGTTAATGTAAATATGTTTTTTCATTATGATATTTAATTTGATTTTAATCAAGATATATTTTGATATAACAGAAAGGGTATTTTAGTCATTCACATATTTACTCATTTTCTTTCCTTTCTATTTTTTCTTGTCCATTCAAACATGAGAGGTGATAATATTTTATGTTCAATTTTCTCGTCTCTCTATTTTTTCTCCTCTCATTTTCTTTCCCCTCAACTTTTCTTCTAGTTAAGTTATATTCGGGTATATCCAACATCCTAAAATTTTTTTTTAGATGCATTTAACACTCTAAATTATTTTTTGATGCATCCAGTACCTTAAATTGTTAAAGGTAAAACTACACTAAACAATATTTTAGGGTATTAGATGTACCTAAAATAGTACTTTAAAGTATTAGATACACCACTAGATATTTTAAGATGCTGAATATATTTTAAAAACAACTTCGGGATGCTGAATTTATACCATAACTCTTTAAATAAATAATGCAAAGTAGGTCCTATTTTGTCTTTTTATCACTGCTTGTTTTTCTCTCCACATTATGAACCAACTTTTTTTCATAACGCACAAAAATTTAGCTTCAGACCCAACATGCGTTGAGGCTCAGAAGTTCTTTTGAAAAAAAACGCTATGCCAAACATACGCATATTACCTTATTATCCAAAACGCCATAGTTCCCGTTTTACCAGGCACGTTTGCAATCCTCATCCGAGATCCAAACACGCTGTAAGTGACTTCATCTTTCAATCCCCACTATGTGATTCTGGGCTCTGTTTCATTACTTGCATGAGTTCAGATGTCATGAGACGTTGGGTTACGTTAATGCTGAATGACTTCCAAAATGTGTTGGAGCTTACAGAGAAGTTGCCCATGGAGGTGGAATTGTTGGTGCGGGGAGAGGTGTATGGTTTGGGATGTCTCACAATTACTGACTGGATCCGGACAGTTTTGATTTCTGTTGTCTGTTATCCTAAGCTTTTACTTTCCTGTATGCTTTAGTTAGACCTTCGTCATATAAAGGGCTTTACAGGTTGCTTGTTAACTTTGAAGTTAATCAGCGCTTCCTCTTTTTTTCTTGTCTCTTGTAATATCTTTGACATATCAAAATCTGTCAAAATTATATATTTTTTAATTTTAAAATTCAACATGTATTTTGTTTGTCATATTTCCTTGCAAGTTGTAAAATTTAATAATTTAAAATTGAAACATTATTACTTAAATATTAATATATAGAAAATTATTTTTATTTCAAATTATTCTTTTATTAAAGTAAAAATGAATTAATATTGTAATAATGAACTAAATGTAAATTATTTAATTTTAATTTAAAAATATGTTAGCTTTATTCACCTAGTGAACTTATGCGGCTTTAACGTGTCCAGAACCAAGCAAATCCACCTTTTCCTCGTTCCACCAAAAAGGTTTAGGTTTTGTTTGGTACAGCGGAGGGGAACGGAGAGAAGGTTAATTAAAAGAGGAGAGAGGAAAGGAAGGGAGGTCATAAGTTTTGTTTGGTTTGAGGGGAGAGAAAGAGAGAGGAGATTTCTTATTTGGTTTATAAGAAGAGGGGATGAGAGGTAATTATAAATTGACAAATATACCCTTATCTTTATATTTAGACTACTTTATTTTTTAATTACAATATTCATATCAAAATTATTATTTCTTAATTTATTAATTTCAAAAAAACTAATTACCTCAATTACATGTGATAAAAAAATTATGATAAACTAAAAAAATTAGGAAATATGATAAAAAATTTAGCATTCTATCTTATTAATTTTATAACTATAATACACACACATGTGTATTAATATATATGATATGTATATATATTATATAATTATAATGCATGCACGTTATGATATGTATATATTAATATATATGCATGTGTGTAACTTATCTGATTAATATATATGCATGTTTGCCGCCCATATGATATTATAATACACACATGATATATAATTATAATACACACATTATGATATGTATATATTAATATATATGATATGTATATATTATATAATTATAATACACCACCCTCTATTAATATATACGATCATATTATATTATGAAAAAAATTACTGCCATGATAAAAATATTATATTATCAAACATCATTAGTGGCTAAAAAGAGAGAAGTGAGAAAAGGGTTTCTAATAAGAGAGGCAAACTTGGAATATAAAAAAGCTAGTATGGGTAGTATAGTCAATATTATATATAGTATTTCTCTCTCCTCCAAAAAACCTCAAATTTGGAAAGGAGCAAAAGAAAAGGAAGAGAGCACTAAAAGACAAATTTCTTTCCTCCCCTCCCTTATATTTTTCTCAACCAAACAAACTAATGCCCTCCCCTCCGCTCCGCTCCCCTCCCCTCCCCTTAACAACCTTCTGACCAAACAAAACCTTAAAGAAAAAGTAAAACCCTACTAAAGGGTTTTCTTTTGAAGATTCCTTTAAACCCTAATGGTCACGTGAAGGTAGAATTTTACTCTTAATTTTATTTTTCATACAAACCCAATAACTCAATTATTTTAGCGCAATTTTATTCATATCTTTTTGTGTAATTTTACCCCTAAAAAAAATATCATGAGCAAAATTACATAGAAAAAATATAAGTAAAATTGTACCACTAAAAAAAAATGAAACAAGGTTGGTGTTTAGAAACTGTAGTCCTAAAAGTGATTTTACGATATATTCCTAAAAGTGATTTTATGATATACGAAGTAGATATGTGAGTGAAGTTTTATCTCAATTTATGTAAAAGTACTTTTTAAAAATGTTCTTTGTATATACCAAACACCCCCAAAGGGTTTTTTTTCCCCATATATATATATATATATGCATATATGATTTAATAGATTTTATATTATGCTACTTCTGATCCTTAATATAAGATTTTGTTTGACTTTTATTTTGATTCTAAATATAAAACCTTCATTTATTTTATCTCTCATATTTATCTTTTTTTAAAAAATAGTTCTTCTAGCAATAGTAGTTCTAACAAATAAATTTGATTAGCAATAATATTTTAAAAAATATAACATATATTTATTATAAATAACTGATTTAATTTATTTTTTTTAATCTATTTAAATTAGTAACTAGTTTGTGGAAGGTAACATATTTATTGACGAATGGATAAAGATTTTTAAGTTCCTTTTCTGTTCTTTATTTTCCCCCAACTTGGATAATTTATTTGTTTAAACTTTAAATTCAAATAAGGAAAGGTATCTAAGCGACGGAGCTGCGTCTTTTAAAAGCTGAAATGCGATCACAACGGTCATATCCCTGACCAAAACACAAGTCAGTGATGGAAGCGAGAGGTTTCTCGTCAGCCATTCCCAGGTTGAAGAGAGAAGAATGTAAACGAACAAAACACGATTCCAACTTCTCTGATTGGAAGGTTCGAAAATACTTCACTTATTTTGTGTCTCTTGCCTTGTGATTTATGCGATTGTGGTTTCCTTATCTATTTTCCCCGACAAATCAGTAATTTGCGATTTAATAGGTGTTACCTCATACAAACGTGGATTTCCTGGATTTTAAATTGCGAAGGCTACGATATATGCGAGATCCGTATTTAATTAGTTCGTTTTGGCAAATATGATTTTTGCGGAAACTTCTTTTATTATTGAAAATTGAAGATTTCTGGTTCAGATTCTGAAATATCAGTCTCAAAAATACACTTCTAGGAATGAATTTGGGTGAAGGATATGCCTTAGTGAAGTGCCTGCTGATAGGTTTTGTGTCGGAAAAATTTATAGAATCTGATTGCGGGGTTTGACTTTGGCTGTTACTGATGAGGAGTGTCTTCCTGATGGGGTGATTGTATGGTTTGTCTTTTTGATCTTGGTGGTATTTGCGATTTCGTTTTCCTGAATTGTGGCAAAAAAAGGTAGACTTACAGGGTAACCAAGTCTGATTTGATCTCCCCCTGAAATTAAGGATGCAGTTAACTCTTAACTCTTACTCTTTTTTTTTTTGGGGGGGGGGGGGAGTGGATTTTCATGTTAAATAATGATCTTTTGTGACGCTTATCTGTTTTACATAGTTTATTGCTAATGTTACAAGTTTCACTCAGATTCTCATTGGCCCTTCAGATTGGGAGGACTATTCCAGGGGGAAGGAAGGTTCAGCTAGGTATAGAATTCATAACCTCCCAGACAAATTGAACCCAGGAGTTTATGAGCTTGGTATTGCTGTGTCTCGCATTGGATTGGGGCGTAAGGTTTACAAGCTTGATCCAGACCGTATTGTTGTGGTTTACCTTGGAAAAGCTGACGATGTGAGAGCAAGACTCCAACAATATGGTCGAACTGGAGCTCATTTGAGCAATAACTGCTTAACTTTTGATCCAGATGATAGTAATCCTGCTTGTACCCATAAGGGGAAGGGATTTTTTGAGGAAATATTTTCACAAGGCTATCCAATTATTTATAGATGGGCTCCTGTAAGTGCATATGCCAGTAACACCTTTCTTTTCATGTGCACTGCTTAATTTATAAATACCACTGACATCTTTCCTGCAAGTACAAAAATGTCTTTTTCACCATAAATATCAGTTTTGCTCATCGGTAGAGACATTGATCAATAAATTTCTTTCTGCGTGTGTTGAACTCAGAATTACTCTGCCGTATAGATCATTTTATCAGCCAAAACAACAAGCTTTCAAAGAGCACTGGAAAATTTTGACTTTTGATGACTGTTTTGTCTCTATGCTTATTTTTCTTTCACACACACACACACACACATCTTCTTTACAAAATTAATTGTAACGTTAGTGTTTAGTTTTTGGGAAAATCACTATGAGTTCCACAAAAAAAAAAAAATATAATCACTAAAAATTCCAAAAACTAGTGAGCAGCATAGACCTTGTTGGCATTTCTTGCACTTAACCTTGTCTTTACTTGTTATGGGACTTTTTAATAATTGCATTCCTTCCTTGGGACCAAATAGTGATTTTCCTTTATGTTACTTGGGATATGGTAAGAATGTTGTTTAACTTAGCATTTATTCTGGCCATTTTAAGGGTCTAAGCTCTTTTTCTCCGTAATATCCAGGGGTATATATTTGTTAGTGTGATGTAATATATTGAAGAAATACTTCCAAAGAAGCCTTGGTTTTGCTGAGAAGTATTTCATATTTGTTAAATCCATTAGGGAAGATTTAAAAAATGCATATATGCACCTGCCTTCATATTACGCGTTAGTACTGAATGATGTTTCTGGCAAGGAGAATACTGTGGAAAACTTAGGTTATCTGCTGGCTTAGATGAATATTTATTGAAGTGCAAGTGTTTAACATTTTATCTTTTTATCTTCTCTGGGAATGCTTGCTGAGCAGATGCAAAACAAGGAAGATGCCAGGAAAACCGAAAGTCAGTTGCTCAATGTATTTGATTATGCATGGAACACCAGTAATAATGGTACCCGACGCCCAGATGATATTTTGAAGAAGATTAACAAAGTTGCTTCAGGTCATACAACATTTTCAAACATTGTCAAGGCGCTTCAACCTTCCACCCAGAAGCGAGTGGGTATCCAAATCAAATCAAGTAGCATGCCTTCCCCCGATAACAAATTACAAGAAATAGACAGAGGCAGCTATAATTTCTTATCTCGAGTATTTAAAATTGGCAGATCAAATCCAAGGTTAGTTCAAGATGTCCCGGCCGTCATTCAGGACACTACGACAAGATTTTGTGGAGTGGTCTTGGGTGATGGTTCTGTTTGTAGAAGACCACCAGTTGAAAGAAGAATGAGGTGTGTGGAACACGAAGGAATGAGAGTAAATGGGCCCACTTCGAAAGGGGGAATGAAATCAGAGAACAATCCGGACATAGAACTCAATGTGCCCTGTCATCAGAAGAGCGAAGGCTATGGTGAGGAACATGACCCTTTTGCCATTCAGGACAATACTGCAAGATTCTGTGGAGTGGTCTTGGGTGATGGTTCTGTTTGTACAAGATCACCAGCTGAAAGAAGAATGAGGTGCGTGGAACACAAAGGAATGAGAATAAATGGGTTCACTTCGAACAGGACAATGAAATCAGAGAACAATCTAGACTTAGAATTCAACGTGCCCTGCCATCTGAAGAGCCAAGGTCATGGTGAAGAGATTGTTAGCCAAGATTTGAAACTTGAGAATCCCCTTGATGGTAGAATTATTAATATATGTGGAATCATTTTAAATGATGGCACTCCTTGTAGGAGGCAACCTGTTAACGGGAGAAAAAGATGTCATGAGCATAAAGGGAAGAGAATCAATCATTTTAATTAGGCCCATTGCGATCTAGGAGGACGGAACACAAGATGACGGGATGAGCAAACCCATCGAGGAGTCTTGTATCACAGTCAAATGCATTGACAAGACCTGATCACTTGTCCCTCCTTCCTCCCCTCCAATGCTTATGATTGCTCCATCGTTCAATTTAGGCAGCTTACATTGATGACAAGGTAATTTCTTAGCCAACAATACAGAATTTGGTCGTAAAAATATAACTTTCGAAGAAAAATTTGTCCATTTTTGGTCTTTTTTTTATTTTTTATTATGCTTTTGTGGGTTCATGAGTTTTTTTCTTTCTCGGTCATTCCTTCTGAATTGGAGTTGTTTCTCTAATTGTGGCAGTGGTTTCCCTCGATGAAAGCATTTTAGGTGTTGAAGAAGAGGAAGCAAGAAAGCCATGCTTGGAGACAACGGAAAAAGTTGTTGGGAAGCTTGGATGTGTTTGGGAAATGCAGCAAAGGAAAACCTTTTTTGGGTGGAGACCAGATTGGATTCCTTGACATTGCTTCTGGAAGCACCCTGGGCTGACTCAGTGTTATAGAAACTTTGTAAGGAGGAAAGTTTATCGTTTAAGCAAAAGCTACTTTTTGGTAAAATGGGCTGTCAGATTTCACTTGTTTCTGCTGCAGAGGGGCCTTATACCTGAAACTAATAAATTGATATGGCTTTCCAAATTCCTTCATATCGCAAAGAGCTGCAATTGCTAAGAAGTAGAATTTTCGAGTAAGTAGATGGTGCTTGCTGGTATAAATAATTCTCTGTTGTTTGTAGAATTAAATAAAATGTTCTTTTGTTCTGGGTGTTTCTTGCAAGTGTCCCTGAATTGTTCTGTGTACCGTCACTCGTAGCAGCAATTTCTATGTCAAACTGATTTGGATTCGATGAAATCAAATTATTTTGACCGTCACTTGATGAAATCATATGTTTCTTCATTCCTTTATCCTTAACGTCCAAATAAAAAATCCAAGGTCATTTTCTGATATCTAAGGCTATGCAGGCCGTAGTTATTGGATGAAATCCCTTTATCCTTCATTCCGTAACATTGCTCGTGTTATTTCTTTGTTTTCTTAATGTTTGTCATAATTTATTTTATTAATTGCTGTTGATGATTTTCTTGCGGAGCTTCGATAATAAAATCTTTCCGCCAAATTTGAAATGAACTTTCTTTGCGTTTACGTAGCCAATGAAGAGAACTGGGCAGACACATGCAATTCAAATTCCTTTTATGTGGCTATATGTGCTTTAGCTTAGCATAATTATAATATTTTCAAAAGGTTTGTTCAGGTTCTCTTAAAGAAGATGAAAGATGAATGAATTATGTTACTATTTAATGGCATGCTTGTCATATGCTAATTCCAGTTTTACTATCAGTAATATCTTTTGACAGTTTGATTTATATAGAATGGATTGGGGTAAAGGGTAAACTTGGACTCATTTCGGGAGACTTGTAACAATCTTTTAAATGTGAAAAGATATTTTTACCTTTGGTGAAATATGAGAAAATATTTAGACTCATTTGGGGAAACTTGCGCTCATTTTGCTGATAATTGCAACCTTTTTACAAGTTACAACTATGCAGTTTTTGGAGGATCCATTGATGTAGCTGCTGTTTTGGGTTTTGTTGATTCTGGCCTTGCCTTGATTTGATAGTTGCAGCTGGTATCAATGCGTCTGATTTAATCTGAAAAATTGCCACTGAGGGTGGAGTTGAATTTGATGAGGTACCTGCAGTAGTTGTAAATGGTTTGAATTCGTTTGGCGCAGTCACTATTTCTGAAGGAGTGCATGCACTGATTGCTATGACTTCAGTTTTCATTATGTCTGACGTGACCCTGGAAGCACACAAATTGAAGCATGTGCCACAATGCTCAAGGGTTGAGTCAGGGTAGGAACAAGCCAGGATAGGTCAAGCTTTGCCCAAATAGGACTTAGTCCCACTGTAGTAAAGTCTAAAGTTTAGGCCTAAACCTGCATGTTAGTAGGCCTTTAAAAAAGCTTCATATACCAGGCCTTGAAGTGCTTTGAGCTTACTAATTTGTGAGGCTTCAAGGCCTGCATATTTACAAATTGTAGAAGCCTATGTGAAGCCGACATGTAATTGAAATAAAACCTAATTTTTACTCCAAATTATTCCATAGAGCTTTTACATGGGATGAGAAATTTTAGTCTCCAAACAATAAGCCCATTAGAGTACAATACTAGCAACAATCTATAGAGTACAGGACAACAATAACACATGATGACATTCAACGACATCATCACCATTATCAAATGAAAACTAAACAACACAATAACATAATGGTAACACCAATAGATAAAAACAAAACACCAATAAAGGCTTCAATATAATCTCCTCTTGTTTTGGTGGCTCCTATAAAATAAAAAAAAATTAAAATAAATAACTAGTCCAATATAAGTTCAATCAACATGCAACAGATATAAAAATAGACAAATATGTAATATCATATTCATACTTTTAGTTTTCTCTTTCAAAAAACTTGTGACGGAGGTAGTCCCCACCGCATAAAAGAAGTTTAATAAATTCTTTAGTCAATCTAGCATAATATTCATCAATCACCTTTCTCCAGCACTAAATGTAAATTTTGTTGCCATATTAGATGCCACCCTAGATAAAACTTTAAAATTTGCACGACTGTTCATCCACGACTTTGAGTCACATAAAGATGATGAAGAATCAGGAGAAGGAATATAAGGATCATCATGAAGATAAGTTTCTATTAGGTTCACTTTTGCAAACTTGGAAAAATACATGAAAAGGGAAAGATGCTTTTGTTAGTCAGAGCTTCGACCGGGAGACTCCTACTATTGTAGAGAAACAAATAGAGAAGCAGGGATAGCTAGAGGGTTGCTACAGTCAGAGACTCCTACTATTGTAGAGAAACAAATAGAGAAGCAGAATAGCTAGAGGGTTGCTACAGTCAGAGACTCCTACTAATACTATTGTAGAGAAACAAATAGAGAAGTAGGGATAGCTAGAGGGTTGTTACAGTCAAAGTCTATGAGAGGGGCTGTGATTGTCACTTTTTTGGGTCTTTATAGTAGTGTTTGGTACGAAACATTGAAAATAGGGGACGAGAATGTGGATTGAGATTGACAAAATAGTATTTAGCTAAGAAATTACTTATTACATGGGATTAGACAAACCCATGTATATGGGATTGGGAAATACCATGAGGGGAAGTGGTATTCCCTAATCCCACCTCCATAGGCTTGCCTAATCCCATGTAACAAGTAACTACTCGTGCTAAAGACTTTTTTAATGATTTTTTTCAATTGCAATCCCAATCCCTATTCCTCATCTTCAATACTTCGTACCAAACGAGACCTATATTCCCTTTGGTCGAAGAGGAGAGGTAGAGAAGAATTTTGAGAAGTGTGGCTTAGGCATTTGGAGGGAGAGAGCCAATCCTCTCAAATAATTGACAAACTCGTGTTTGTGTTCTAGAATTCCTATCATGTGTGCTATGTCTTGTGAGTTATGAGAGTTGTGTTTGAGTTTTTTATAAGTTTTGTTTGTCATTTGTTGTGTTCTAATAATCTTTTATGCAGTAAAAATGTTGTGAATCTCGAGTTTTGCCATTCTGTGTTTATTTCTGGTTTTGAGTCTTGTTGTAAGTTTGTTTAGGAAAGCGTCCTATCAGTTTCCAACTTTGATTTGGTAGGAAGAACTAAATGCCTTTGATAAATCATGTTTAACATTCATTGCATTTCTTTACTTTTTTTGCTGTGTGCTAGCATTCGCCTTGGCAATGCCATTAATATTTACTTTACTATATGCAAAAGATAAGTCTTTTCTTTGCAACTCCATATGCTTAAGATATAATTTATTCAATAACTTTTTTACCTTTTTCTGCATTTCAATCAGCCTCACTTTTTGGTTTATATATTGAGGGAAAACTTATCTCGATGACATCTAATTTGATCTTTGAATCCGAAACATTTGCAATAGCCATTAACAAGCTAGATTTCCCTTATTATTTATTAAATTTTTCTTTCATAGGTATTGTTATCTCATTCATAAATAAGTCAAAAGACTTATTGTTTCATCGGTCACTTGTTTCATCTTATGAATTTCAATAAGATATAGGTTCGTAATAAGATAATCACAATTTGAGATGACATGAGTAGCATCATTATAAAATTTTAAGAGATTAAAAAACCTTTTCATTCTTCTTCAAATACTTGGCATTTGATGCATAAAGAGATTGTGGATCTTTTTCTTTATAAGTTGAAAACATATGCTTGAATTTCATTGTAGTTGTCAACATAAAGAATGTAGAGTTCCATCTTATAGAACAATTAAGAATAAGCTTCTTTATTCCAAATCATTTAATTCCATAACTTAGCCTAAAGATTTTAGCTGTGCATTTGAGAAATTTATAAACTTGACACTTTCACGAATTCTGTGAATAATACTTTTAATAGTGCCAAGACCATCGTGTGTGAACAAGTTCATAATGCATGTTTCATCTAACATGAAATGGTTGTCCACTAAACACCAACTTATTGCTCAATGACAAGTTCTCATTCAAATTTATTAAGTCATTATAACAAGTATTATCAAACAAAATATTTTATTTTCAATACCCTATGATATTAAATACTTGAAAATCACATTTGCTGTAAAATACTCCTTGTCTTAGAGCAAGCATTTTGACAAGACTCAACTCTCTTATAAAAATTTTACCTAGCATTGACAAAATGGCCGGCGATAACCACGTAATCAACTACTTGATGATTTGATTTTCACATGTTAATTGTAATACTAACATTGCTCACATTCCTCAATACATCTTTCAAAGCATTTTTTTTTAGCTTCATAATATTAGAGACAATCACTTCTTGTTGTCTTACAATTGACTTTTTTAAAATATGAATTTGTATGTTCAAAAATTCACATTAAAATTTCATATTCTTCCATGCTAAAAGAACACCTGTGCGCCATAATAGGAGTAACTAAGATTTTTGTCATCTTTTCATTGGAGTATTTGGGGCCAAGAACAATAAAAAGATTAATTTCTAACTCAATTGATGATGAGCAAAATTGTATCGTGGTTTACTTGTTTTACTAATAGACAAATAACTTACACTGCAAGGATATCTCTAATTGCCGTTTAAGAAGGCTAGTGCTTATTCCCATTCCACCCCTAGCTAGCCTTTCTTTCTATTACAACCACAAGCTCAACTTGTCCATGATGCTAATAAAACAATGTGCTTATATTGTAAAGAAAAACTAGCTATGGGTGAAATAACATCTAGCATTATCCATCTTAGACGGCACTCATTTATTTGTAACAGAAGTTGTTTGTCTCTTAGTAAATTAAGCAAATCATCATACAATTTCACTCATCGTTGGCACTAAATATTCCAATAAAATGAGAAGAGTCTTAACTGCTATTATTATGGTGCATGAGTGTCCTTTTAGCATGATAAAAGATGAAGTTTTGATATGGCTCTTCAAATATGCAAATTCAGATTTTAGAAAGTCATTCATAAGACAGCAAGAAGTGGTTGTTTCAAATATCATGAGGTTGAAAAAAATGCTTTAAAAATATATTGGAAAATGTACGTAATATTATTATTAAAACTAATATGTGAAAGTTATCATGTAACTGGATTGTGACTGGTCATTTTGTTGATATTATGAGGAATCTTTTATAAAAGAGTTTTGAATTATGTCAAATTGCCTATTCCAAGGAAACAAGTAGATATAACAAATATGATTTTCAAGTGTTTGAAATCATAGGGTATTGAAAACAAAATATTTTTAGTTTGTTATAATGCCTGTTGTTTAAGAATTTTGGAGGAGAACTTGTCATTAAATAATAAGTTGGTGTTTGGGGGTAACTATTTTATGTTACATGTTATGCAAATATTTTGAATTTTTTGGTGTAAGATGGCCTTAGTATCATTAGAGATATCATTCACAAAGTTTGTAAAAGTGTCTAGTTTATAAATCCTTCAAATACAAGACTAAAATCTTTTTGAGGTTGTGCAGTTTTGGATTTGAAAGAAAGGAAACTTATTTTTGCTTGTCGTACAAGATGTATTTCTATATTCTTGGTCTTGACGATTGTAATGATATTCAACCGTGCATTTTTAACTTAACTTTTATCTTACTAAAGTTCACAGGGTGAAACAATTGATGGATAAGGTAATAGGGTATTATGACTTATTTATGAATGAGATGACAATATACCTATGAGAGAAAATTTTGATAAACATTAGGAGAATAAAACTTGTTAATAGCTATTGCAAGTGCTTTGAATCTTAAGATCAAATTAGATGCTATTGAGATAAGTTTTTTTTCTTGATTTATAAATCAAAAAGTAAGGCAGCAAAATGTGGAAAAGGTGAAAAAGATATACGAGGAATTATATCTTGAGTATTAAATATTTGGAGTTATAAAGAGAAAGAAAAACACACCTTTTGCATTTAATGAAATGAATATTGATAGCACTGCCTTGGTAGTTATTAGTGCACAACAAAAAGATAAAGGATTGCAATGAACATTGAACATTGTCTGTGAAAGACATTTGATTTCCTCTTATCAAATTAAAGTTGGAAACTTATCTTGGCTAATCCTTATATTCCTTCTCTTGATTGTTCATCTTTCTATGCTTTGAAGTGGTGGAAAAACAATAATGTAAAGAGGATAGCATTTGATATATTAGTTTTCCCTCTCTCACTATGGCATCAAAATCTACATTTAATGCTAGAGGAAAAGTGATTAATTAATATCATGTTAGATTGAATGAAGAATATGTTGTAGTTTGTTTATGCTTGAGGGTTGGCTTTCTCACAAATATGGTTTGAAAAAATTTTGGCAGTAAAAAAAGGAATTGAGAAATTCAATTTTCATTTTAGTCCTTTCAACTTTATTATTAAAATGAATAATACTTCATTTCCCTCAATGCTTGAAGCAAAAAAG